ATATAACTGTGACGTGACATCTAGAAAGTACTTAGCCAGAGTGCACGTGGGCCCTGCTATAAGCATGCCTTAAAGATGTGCACAAGGTTCAAAGCTTAGGTCACATAATTCGCTGATATAACTAGGGAAGTCCTAGACCCCTACACAAAATAAAAAGAAACACGTTGGCTAAACAGTTTAATAAAGGTGTAACAGTACGTAGAACACCACCTCAAAATACAGACTGTGTTCCCCAAAACTGTTATAAAAAAGTAACAGTTTCTCTCCTTCGGTAATGGTCAGAAATTTATTGTTTCTAGTATCAAATTAAAGTTTATAGTTTTAACTTCTCAAAACTTAAAACTTAATGTAAATTTGATAATGCGTTACAGAGACAACGTAAGATATCTTCTTTTTCGTTCTGGCAAATGGTATTTACCACAGTTTTAAGAAAAATACTCAGTAAACTTTACGAAAATCAAAGATTTCTGACAAATTAATTTAAGAAAAAAATCAATGTCCCGTTTCGGTTGCTTTTTTACGGGGAGAGGAAAACACGCTTAGGCTCGATCACCATTACCATCGTGTACTGAAGGATTTCGTAGAAATCAAGTTGCTATTCTTTCTTCAACAGCAAGACCAGGCTCAACTCTGCGAAGCACCGGCATTAGCAGCATCTGTAGGGCCGCGGCGGCGTTCAGACCAGCCAAAACGTAGAAGACAGAGCTGAAAGCACCAGTGCCATCATACGCCGCACCTTGGATTAGGATGAAGCAATTTAAACACTAAGCGAGGAAGTGAACCAAAAAGCTTAGGTCAACCCGATTTCTTTTTCTTTTAAATGACAAGTAGGGGAACGCAAACTTATTCTTCATCGAATATCACTCGTAAACAGTACAGCATACAGAACACGATTAATCCATAATTACGAGTTGTAGCAAAAACCATGGATAGCTTACTGCATGCGAAATAGTCAAAGAATGAACTGATCGGTTTACTCAAAGGGCACTGCATGTTTGTAGCTGTGGTGGTGCTCTGTGTCAATATCTGTTCGTTAATTTTAGAAGTTTTCTAAAGTCAAGTCTGAAACGCCAACCAGGAAATGATCACCCTGTAGGTCAATGTTCAGAGTTGTCAGTAGTCAGGCAAAATCAATGCTCTCTTTCGAACTTTAAACAGAACCGGTTTAGACCCCGTCGCACACTTGCAATCTTTTGGCATTAACAAGGTTTATAGATCAACAAGAACAACCAGCCTCTTACTTTCTTTTCCCGTGGAAAACAGGTTCACAATGCCCACTTCACCCAATAATAATATAGCTATATCAGTTTTCACGAATACTTTAATTCAGTCACATTATCATTTTAAGAATAGTTTTTCTCGACGACGTGATACCTAGCGAGACTAACTCTCCGGTAAGCTGTGTCTACGAATAACATTCAACTCTCTCCTGATAATTTGTTGTATGTTTGTAAGAAGAAGTCATCTCAACGATGTCTAAATAAAAGGCAAAAGTATACACTTACCTGCAACTATGGGACCAATAAGATTCCCAACACCACAAAAAAGAAGCATGATTGCTTGTCCAGATGCCAAACGAGGTACACCGACAAATTTACGAAGCAGAACATTTGCCCAGGCTGTACTGGCTCCTATGCTTATACCGACGATGCACGCAGAAGCTGCAAAGGATTCGTAGGTCTCAGCTTGAGAACCCAGTAAACCAACGAAGCACAGGACAAAGGAGCATGCGTAGAGGGCCTCAACGGGTGTCTTGAGGGTTACGAGGAATCCACTTGCCACTCGAGCGCCCAAACTCCCGAACCCAAATATGCTTAGGAGAAATGACGCCCGAAGCTCATCAATGCCACGGAACTGGGCTCTGGGTACGAGGAAAACCACTGCACATGAGTACGTCATGTGGACTTGCGAACTTGTTATACAAAGGAGTAAAAAGCGGTAACTCTTGCGCAACAGTTCCAGTTGAAACACAGAAAACAGTCTCTTCAAGAAAACCACAAATGGCAGTAGCTTCTTTTCATCGGTTTCAGATTCTCCGTCTCGATGGCTGGCATGTTCTTCGAATGAACTTTCATCTCCATCTGCACGAATTCGTGTCTTGAGTCCAGGCACTCTAGCCTTGTTACAGCGACGGCACAGTGCGCCAGCGACGCACAGGTTCGCACACACGGCAGCTGTTATGAGGACGGTTCCACGCCATCCATATTTATCGAGCAGGAGGTGGAATAGAGGCGGGGACACGACCATAACTGCACTACCTCCGGACATGCAAAGCCCACTGACTATGGCGTAACGTTTTTTGAAGTGGTCCGCGACGGCTACGGTTGCACCCATGTAGCACAGAGATGTTCCCAGACCTGTCAGTGTATTTAAAATTACAACCATGACAACTAAAGATCCGGGACCAAATTGTCGGGGTAGTGTCAACTCATTTTTCGGGGGGGGGCAACAATGTGGAATTTTCTTTCAATTAATGTTTTATAGTCTTTTGAGGGGGTAAGGCTGCATTTGGATACTTTTTTACGTGCTTTTTTAAAAAAGGGGCCAAGACAATGAACAAAACATTTGCCTTCTCGTAATAAAAAATGGCTTTTCCTTCGGGGGCGGGGATATAACCTTAGCTCCTCCCATCCACCAGCCAGATCCACCATTAGCGAAGTCATCTGTTTTTCACTGACTTATAGGCTTTTTCATGTTACGGTTCATGTGTATACGTTCGTGCTTTAAAGCTCAACGATTTTAAAAGGTTATACCTATGGGTAACCCAAGGATGTACATATGGAGAACGTTTTTGGCCCAAAAGACCATTAGCATGGCAAACGACATCAGGAACCCGCCCAGGATGCAGGTGAAGCGGTACCCGTATCGGTTGCAGACTACGCCCGATAGCGCGGCTGCGAAAGAATAACAGAAAATTATGCATAAGATACATTTCAATTAAAGTGGAAAAACTCAATTTTGAAAGCAAAGTAAAACAATGATAACTTGTCACACAATTCAAATATTGGACTATACATGTATTATACCAATGTTCTTCACTCATTATTTACCCCAATGGCAATTGACTCTAAGCGAATTCAAACGAAGCGTGAACCAGTGTAAAAAGTTGGAAGGTAACAGCCTTTATGAAAACATACCACGGAGGAAAGAATTTGGCTCACATGCAAAATACCACGTTGAAGATATTATACTGGAGATCACTCCAGTCTGGACAGCGGTTGAGTCAAACGCTATCTGCCAGCTGACGTACAGGATTCCTGTACACCTTGTCATAGTGGACATCAGGAACATGACGAAGAATGAAGCTACGGCAACGACAGCGGCCCGGCATCCACCTGCAGACTCAGTCGCCGCCGGTTGCCTCGTATTATTAGGCTTACGCCACGGGAAGGCCATGCCAACAGTTTGTGGTTGCGGAAATGTCTGAAAAATGGGACAACGCTGTGAGACTTTTTAAAATCCAGATGATCTGGACTAGTGTTGAGCAACAAAATTGTAACAATTTGTCTTTCCGTTGAATTATAATAAAAAAGAAATGTTAAAAGTGAGGCCTCTACATTTACAATTTCTTATTTGACGTAAATCTTTAGTTTGCATATTCAATAAAAACGTATCCAACGTAGAAACGCACCCTTTTCTTGAGATTACTGATCAGTGGTCTAAAGAAAAAAGGTGTTTTCAGTCACTGTGCGACGAAAGTAATTCAGTCATGGTTTACTGAGTCAACTAGTATTCACACTGTATTTTATTTACCACTCGCCCAGATCGATTTGCACAGCCAACACCGCACAAGAGAGGCTGTAGTCGTATACATGCATGTTAGCCCCTAGGGAAGGCATCCGTGACTTGACTGGCGCGAGACAGTTGCGTCATAGTGCAGCGACTGGGGCGGAGACCGTGTTTGCACGTATTTTTGTAATCTCTGCCCCAGTTGCTGCACTATTTATTACCGGACTAATGCAGACATAAGCCTGGTTTCCATATCGACATAAGAAACGCAAAAAGCAACTCAATCAAGACGCAAACTGCAACGTAGACAAATGGAAACATGCCAAACGGAAGTGTCGCCGATGACGCAAACCAGCCCCAGACGCATAGGCAAAGTTGAGCTTGGTTCAACTTTGCCGCCTGTCTGCGATGAGTCGCCGAGTAGGCCCATACAAACACGCATGCTGGCATGACGGGCGTACGGAGTTTCTCTCGCTTAGTACCTGTCCACTCATTTTATCCATTTTCTCCTTATTGCTGGCATATGCAGCCCTAATCGTCAACAAAATAGCTGATCACTGACAAATTAAATCAAACTGGAGTATCAGTTTGCTTCAAGAGGAAACATTGCCACCTAAAAAAGGCGTTTTGGGTGAAAAATCTTCCGAGTTTCCGGCGCCATTTTGTTTAATTTATTGGGTGGAAGGACGTCGTGCTGCTTGTTTTCTGTGACTGTCTGTGTCTTGACGTCTGGCAGACCTTCTGCGCTACAAACGACCATACGGAAAACAAGCTTAAGCCACGGTGGCCTTGTCTACAGGCTAGATTGTATATATTTACATGCTTCCATAACTACAGCCCAGTACAATGGACAGCAGTCAGTGCCACCAGACTAACCAAACATTAATACACTGCATGGACATAATGAACCACGCCGGGGATAAATCAGTGGTCCAACTGAAAGGGGAAGAGGTTTGGGCCCCTAACCCTCCAAATTTGTCAAGTTGGTATGGCCTATTGACATTTTAGTCAGTGTGCAGAGACAGGTACAATAATGCACTTTCATCAACCCACGTACATGTTGCATGCTGTGAACATATAACTTTAAGTTAAGAACAACCCATGCCCTCTCCCCGCACAAGCTCTCTCTACGGACACTGAGCACAAATTACCTCTTGAAACAAGAATGAATATACGGATAGTATTTGAGATTGGATAGTCAATATATTAGCTCCCCAATGTATTGGAAAGTTGACAGACAATACATTGGTCGGATCCCTCGGATTTGTGAACTTCGGATGCCAAAACACCATCATATTGGAGCTGACCCTATTCCTTACCTGGTGGCATATATGCTTGTTCAATGCCGATGAGAAGTTTGCCATCCAACCTCAGGCCGTCCAGTATATGGCATTTCCAGTGGGAGGCCTGTGATTAAACACATAGGCCTAATCAGATAAAGAATGATGTCTTTTGATATTTCGTCGGTGAGCAGGGTTGTAGTGTATATCGATTAAATAAACCATGCGCTCGCTCTGCTGCATGCAGCAGGCCAATAGGATTACCATGATGAAACGGCGTGATTTACCTTCAATCAACATAGCTATGAAGAAGCAGTAGTCCGTAGGTAGCATCAAAGCCACAAGTTAAAAAGCACTGCTTCATACTATGGGCCTACACGAAGGTCACATAAAGCAAAACAGTGGCCTTTTATGTGACGTGTACTCAGCGACCACAGGTCATGAGAAACTGGCGTTTCAGGGACAAAATGGAACCGACTTCAATATCGGTAAATATACTCACTGGTCACCGACCAACAGGGCTGACATTTTTTAACCGAGGTCATACGTAAGCCTCACTTTAGACGAAGGCCATAGCCAAATGATACTGTTGGTGTGTACCGATCTTGTTACAATAGGTCTGCTGAGCAGTATTTGATTAGAAGTCGCTCTTTATGCGAATGGGCAGTTTACTGGAAAAACACATTTCCCCGCTCCATATGCGAAAATTCAAGCTTACGTACACATACGATTTCACAGCTATCACTCATAGCTATGACTGAGTCAATCCGGCATTTTAGTATGAATTATATTGTATTGACAAACTTCAGTGCTGGTGAATAAAACCATTTCCTTAAATATCCAGGCGGATATTTGTAAAGTAATAATTTCAGTTTAGTTGGTCATTTTTTTATTTTGGAGGGTTTTAAGACTATTTTATATCTTAAATCAAAATCCATTACACGTAACCTCCCACGGAGCTTTGTTTACATTCCCTCGTAAATTAACAACTTGAAACATAAAAGACAATTTAGGTGGGATATGGGTTAATAAAACTTCAAAAGTACCCCTCACAAAAACAATTGGTGATTTCAAAACCTCATCAGGATTTTAGTGGATTGAGGTATTTGATGGTGAAGAAAATCACCTGTTATGATGGTGACACAGACTGGGGAAACTTGGGGTATTTTTCTGGTGACGAAAAAATCTATATAAGTGTCATCACAACGCATATAAAGTGTACATTTGCGAATGTGGGTGAGTGGCGGGCAATTAACAGGGAACCTTATACAAAGGCCGAGAAAAAAAGCATCCTTAAAGTAATTCCACACTTTTGGCCCCAGAAACTTATAGTACTAGACCTTTCTTTGAACATGTACAAATTGCAACATCAAGAACTTGGTTGACATCCGAAAAACATATGGCGTGCGAAGGTAACATTTAATCCGCATTAGAGATATCTCTGTTCTATTCCTATTGGAGATATCTAGTTTGGTTGGTTTGGTTTGGTTTTTTTATTTCCACACATCATAACATTAGAACATAGAGAAACAATTATTACAGAATAAAATAATAGATGATAATGGCAGATACCAGACAGAAAGCGAAAGGCTTATTCATGGTCTGGTTCTTTATTTGTTATAATGAGGCTATAATTACTAAATACAGAAAAAGGAGTAAAGAGAGTAAGATAACTGAAGGTACAGCTGAACGTTAGAATTTAGCAACATTTTCTTTGTCATAACATCTTAGGAATGATACAATTCTAGACATGACTGTTTTGACATTAACTTAAGGTTGTAAATGCACAGTAGAAATGTCATACGTACATGAAATACATGTACAATACAGGGTAAATAAACTATATTACACTGGGAAGGAGGATATTCTTCAAGTACTTTTTAAAACCATGTAGGCATGTATACTTCTTAAGTATGGCATTGGGGTGATTTTATTCCAGAGCAAAGGACCTTGATGTCGAACTGTTGTAAGGAATATTGTAGTTCTTGTCTTTGCAATGTGAAACTTGGCTGCTGACCTAGTATTATATGAGTGGACACCAGTATTCCTCAGAGACAATGATTTGGTTTCAGGGAACAGAAGATTGTTTCAAATTTAAACATTAGAATACCCAGTTGATATTTGTATAAATTGAAAATTGATAGGGTGTTCAGCTTCTGGAATAGCGGTTCGGTGTAGTCTGTAGGACCAGATTTTGTAATAACCCATAGCAACTTTGTTTGTAATATTAATAATCTCTATTAATTAATAGCGATATCTCTGTTAGGAACAGAGATATCTCTATTATTGATAGGGATATATATATTTTTGTTAGAGATATCTCTGTTAGGAACAGAGATATCTCTATTATTGATAGATATATCTCTGTTAGGAATAGCGATATCTCTATCATTGATAGAGATATCTCTATTAGAAATAGAGATATGTCTGTTATTGTCTCTATTAGGAATAGAAATATCTCCGTAGTAGGAATAGAGATATCTCTATTCCGTGAATAAATGTTAACTTGGCACGTCTAGGAATAGAGATATCCCTATTCCGGGAGTAAATGTTAACTTGGCACGCGATAAAAACATCATTATAGGAGCCAGAACTACGACAGTGCGGTACGTAATTTCTGTATCAGCGATGCTGATTGAACCTTGGATTGTTGGATTGGTCGCCTTTCTCTTGCTGCAAAACGTGGGTTTTCTCCGCGGTATTTGTCAGACAAACTTGATCCTCTCAGAGGTCGTTAGAAAAGTATTATAATATATGGTTAGAAAGCTTAAGTATTGGTAATTCTTGTCATGTATATTTTATGACGAAATACAATAGGAAAGAGCTGTTATGATTGTGTAAAAAGTGTCATTTTTAACCTCGGTGGTATGACCACGACACGTCTCGTTCTTTACAAGTGGACACACCTTGTTATGTATGACCGACTCATAATTAATTTCAAGTTGACAGTTAACAGTAAAATAGGAGTATACGAGCACGTATACCTCAACTATCTGCTCAACTATCCATCTTGTTTTTCATGTTAAAAAGACCACACTGTAGAGCTATTTATATTGGCCTCAACCCACAAATGACAGAGTATGAAGTCTAATACACTGAAATTTTCAAATTAACACACATCCATAGTAAAAAGGGGTTTAAAGATGGCTCACTTTCTTTGTTACATGTGTTTGACGGGGGAAAAAAATTCTTCTGTTTTCGCCCAAAGAGGGAGTCTATGCATTTTGAGATTCGTCTCGCTCAGGAATGCCGGGCTCAATTTTTCGAAACAGCGGAAAAAGCATCATCTGAAGGACGGTGGCAGAGAGTAGACCAGTCAGTACGTAGAACACGGTGCTGAAGTTCCCCGTGATGTCATATATACCTCCTGTGCAAAGCCAGAGAAGCAAATTCAAAAAGTATGTTTAGCTTTACAAAAAAACACGCAACCCCCCACTGTAATTTGTCATGCGTAATACAAATTTAATGAATGATGTTTTCTTTGGCAGTTCTTTAAATTACGCTTAGGTCTGACTGGGGAAAGCCACGTTCGACCTCAGTCAGTGGGTGCTCTCAAGTTCGAAAGGCATGTCACACCAATGATGTCCAAGAAGCATGGATGGTCCAAAGTACTACTGTCAAGATGTGACTTGAGAATCACGCCTTAAGGTCATTTACTAAATTCACCAAATACAATACCTGCAACAATGGGAGCCACAAGATCGCCAAGACCGCATACCGTGAGATGTAAACCCTGTCCAGATGCCACAAGAGGCACACCCAGGAGTTTACGTAGTAATATGGTGCTCCACACTTTGTTAGCTCCTATACTAATGCCAAAAATGCACGCAGAAGCGGCAAAAGACGCATAGGTCTCAGCTTGAGAGCACAGTAAACCAACGCAACACAGCACAAAGGAGCATGTGTACAGGACCTCGACGGGTGTCTTGCGGGTCACGAAGAAGCCACTTGCAACCCGACCGCCCAAACTCCCAAACCCGAAAATGCTGAGTAGAAACGACGCCTCGAGCTCATCAATGCCACAAAAAGTTGCCCTGGGTATGAGGAAAACTGTCACGCAGGAATAGGCCATTTGGATTTCTAGACCAGTCAAGCAGAGAACTGAGAATCTGTAACTCTTGACCAACAATTTCAGCCGTAATGATGGGAACAACCTCCTTACACTAGCACACTTTCTGCAAGCATATTCACACATCTTTGAATCACGTGGATTGTCGTTTGAACATTCATCAGTGGTCAGGCTGAGGCTTGTTCGTTCAAATTTCTGTCTCTTTTGCGTACGACGGTAGGGGCGATACAGAGCGCCAACAACACAAAGATTGGCACAAACTGCAGATGTTACAAGCATGGCCCCTCGCCATCCATACGTGTCGAGGAGTATGCGTAACAGAGGCGCAAACACTACCATATTCATGCCGACACCGCTCATGGAAATACCGCTCATCACGGCGTAGTATTTCCTAAAATAGTCCGCGACGGCGACAGTCGTAGCAAGGTAAACGAAAGAGGTGCCAAGACCTGAAATGGAAAAGCAAGTTGTAAGATCACAAGCCTTGCATTAAGAATGATTGGTGTATTACAAGGGAGGAGTTTATAATTTTCCATCAGAATGAAACTATTTGGCAAGGGGTTTGCTTTAAGAATGCCTAGAAAGGAAATCGGAAGTTGATTTTTCCTCTTCACAATGATTTTTGAAAAGGTGAACGGATTTATATTAGCTACAAAGTTGCTTTTACTAATCTGACTGAAGCCCATATGTTACTTTATGTATACCGTCATTTTTATTTTCCTTATTTCAAGATTCACATAATGATCATTGTCACTACACAGACCAGAATGTACCCGAGGAAGGCGCTGCGACATCACACCGCAGCAGGCTCTTGAGAGGGTAATATCGACCTTGCGTGATTCCTTTGTCATGATTTGTTTTCACAAAATGCTATTTAAGTTTCTTCAATTTCGTAATCCAGTCGTAGAAAAATAAAACCTTTCTACTCTGACAGGATTTAAAGGGTGTCTGAAGTTTGGTAGAATTCAAGTCATTATGAAAGCTTGTTCCTGCTGATCTGGATAACGAACAATTCTCATGAATACAAGTACATGTACTGTGTATCTTTTCCATCTAGTCAGTGTTTCTTGTTGGTAATGCATAAATATCGGTGGTGTGACGGCAAATGTTTTAAAGTATGCTGCGGCTTTGATTACTGCGGTTTCTCTGCTGTCAACGGGCTTACCTGTAAATACTGCTATAGCGTACATTTCTGCGAGATTTGAAGCCCAGAAACTCATCAAGATTGGAAAGGATGTCAACAGTCCTCCCAGAATACAAGTGAAGCGGTATCCGTAGCGATTGCAGACTACACCTGCTATAAGCGCTGCCGACAAACAATAGAGGGATTTCACATCAGCGCCATCTGCGCATATCTGCAGCTAAACCGAGGCTCTCTGGGTTGAACTTCTTCGCGCGCGCCCGCGGAGTCCACACAGTACATGGAGTATCCGGTTCGTAAGTGTGACGCCACTTCAGTTTAAACCACGCCCACTGCATAAGATAAACGACCATCGCTGGTACGTTAGTTCGCGGTCAATTGTCGTTATTTTTTCGATTTTACGTGTCGAGTCATCCTGAAAGACTCTTCCACAAAAATCTGCAGCCTGAAAAGTCTGAATTTAACATACCGTTATGCATTTTGTGTCTTGACTCCTTACTTCCAATTGTCTGATGGTATTAAGAATTGAAGCTGACACATACAGCCTCGTTTTCAAAGGTGGAAGTGCGCAGATCGACGCTAAAAGCGTCGTATGGGATCCATCTATATGCACTTTACAGTCAAAGAAACCTATGTCGTCTTAGCCACGTTGAAAATGGTGATTACTGGTATTTATTTATTTCATTCTGTTTTGTTATACGGTACCTCCGTCAACAGAGGTCGCTGGGATGCAAATGGCATTTCCGAGCCAAGGACAGTGCTTTAGTACGAAGCATACGTGATTTGCGCACTCAGACACGTCATATGGCTGGCTTTTACTGGTTAAAATGTTCTTATCAAAGGGATCTGGTTCTTCCGGATATCTATAGCTGTTCTATTTGAGAAGTCCTAATCATTAATAAAATAGCGCCAATCTTTCTTTTTCAACTCATGACTTTGGAGGATTTAAAGCAAAGATGTATCTTAGGCTGAATCAAGAAAATTGGTCGGGTTGGCTGCCAATTTTTTGAGAACAATGCAAATGCTTGAAACGTTGGTCTGCTCCTTTCAAGGTTTTAGGTACCTGTTGATTTTAAATCGTAAGTTATACCAATCCACTAACTATTACCGAATTTATCACTATTTCAAAAACAACTTTGACATAGTGGAATGGTACCGGTAAGAGATTTAGGTATTTTAACCTGTGTCACGTGAGAAGATCAGGTGGTGCTGCTATGTTTTATATTTTTTCAATAACAAGAGCAAACATTTGGCGGACGGGCAATCGGTTTTTAATGTCTTACATGAAAAATAGGAGGTGGACAGTATTATACTGGATACAGCCCCAGTCTGTGCCGCGGTTGAATCAAACGCAATCTGCCAGCTGACGTAGAGGATTCCTGTACACCGCAAAGGCATGGTCATGAAAAACAAGCCAGCAAAAGATGCCACGGCTACGATCTTCCCCCAGTCATCACGGCCAGCTGCCCTTGGGTGACGTTTGGCCCGTTGCATGGTAGTGGGACGCCGCTTTGACGGGAGCTGCATGAAATCGCCACGTTTGGGCAACACTGACTATTAAATCTTACACGGCGCTATTGCCTCCCATTCAGAAGTTAACTCGTGCAACATCCTAGGCCTTCAAGCTATATTGGTCCTGGTTGGTTACATCAGTAATACCGCCTACAGAAAAATAGGCCTACTCAACAAAATCGCGCTGTAATTCGGTTGACCTTCTCCGCACAGAGCTTCCATTACACTGCTAACATTGTTTTAGCTATACAGTTATGTTAGACTTTGGACTTCAATCTGCCATTCATATCGGAACGTGAGGGCATGTAACTAATCTTTGTTCATCGCTATGACATGATATTCCTTGGCCACAGACCTGCCCTCCATTTCGCCTCTTGGCGTTTTTTTTAGTACCTTAATGATCATTCCATTGTTAATTAGAGACATTGCAGATGTACGGATATGCCTCTGAGTATACATGTATAATAACCCCTAAGCTGCACCCAGAGAGGGAGCAATTTTCTTAGCAACGGAGGAGCGTGTCGCCCAGCGCCCGAACAGGGCGCCGGACAGGGCTGATGGCTTGGCATTGTGATTGGCTACACCGTGTAAGACCTGTGACCGCGAGGTTATCACTTCCTGTTGGCGTAATTTGTACATGTATTCTTTGGTTCGCCAATGGCAGTGCTTCAGCACGGGCAAAGTGTCAGCTGGAAAAACCTGGCCTTGGGATAATCACAGTGTGGTAATTTATCTTCTCAATAAAAATCACTGATCACGTGTCTTTGGGCTATATACTTCTAATAATTGGTTATCATGATCAGTTTTGGACGAACGAATAAAGGGCAGTGAGAATATTTTAATCATCAAGAAAAACAATGTGGCAAGTGGTATTGTATGCACACTCTCGCTTTAAAGATAGTGTATAGATTTTCAAGTACCGATTTGGGGATTTATGACTTACTCTGTGTATCATTCCACGGACTAATTTCATTTTGGGGGTTCATTCCTTTGAGAAAAATCGAGAAAAACGTTGTTCATTTTTAACAATTAGAGTGTGTCTCGTAAAAAATCCATGGGCCACAGAATGTCCAGAGTGCCTGAACAATGCACAATTGACGTCGATCCGCAGGCCATTTCAATTATGACCCTTAAAAAATGCCTTTTTCCTGGCTTCATTTTAGGAATAGTGGTTGGCAAGTTTACCTTCAAGTCGATGTTTCATCTTAAACAATGCTAAGCTGAGAATTTGTCGAATAAACATCGTTTTATCGCGCTGTGAATGGACTGCACTCACCACTGTCACTGCGCGACCATAACGTAAATGTACACATGCCCCATCGACCACGTACTGTTTGCTCTTCACACGTACGCCTACACCGGTCAGAAACCGTCCACGCACCGTCAGTGCCCATCGAAAACACAAATGTGGTAAGTGTCCACGGATTTTGGGGCATAAGAGTTACTGTGCTTGGGAAAACATAAAGCTGAATGTTTCAAAATTTCAAAGATTTTATGCTCAAGAACAAATGCTTCCTAACGGAGCTCTGCCATATTTGGTTTGGAGCATACCATTTTCTTAAGGGGTGAAACCGGTATGATATATTCACGTTCGGGTCCTTCCAAAGTTGCATAAAGAAACTTTAGTTACAAACCAGTCTAGATTCTCCTGTAGGTTGTTAGTTGCTGTTATATATCTATCTTAATAGTTAATAAAAAGTTTAGCGACCCGAAAGCGCGTTGACAGTTTGTATTACCCGTTAATATTGTGACGCCACACCCCTCCAACGAAGGCGAGGACGCCCTCCTCCACAGAGAGTGGCGTAGACGTAACGTACGGGAAGGTTCCTGAGCGACTAGGGACGAGTCCGTTGGGATGGAGGTATACTGTCCCCAAAGAAAATTCGATGACCTCTGGTCTTCGTTGAGACGATGCCTAATCTGATTTGCCCAAAGCTTTATATAGTGACGCAACCTGGAAAGAAATGACTTGAAAATGAACTGCGTCTCAGGGACACCTGACTCACATTCTACAATCAAAGTGGTTTATTCAATCATACACAATCAATACACCAGTAGAGGGCGCTACTGACAGGGAGACTGTGTGACGATACGTGTCTGAACTTCGCCCAGACTAGCGAACACTACTATTAACTCTGGGCATCCGGTGCCAAATCAAGGACTTAAGCAAGTCTACGTACAGGCTACTGTCAGGGCTGCGTTACCCGCAAGCTCCTATCAGGAACCATGCCGCACAACCAATTAGCCCCTCAACCTACCGAGCCCCTCAGCACCACACGCACCACTCGGGACTTGGGCACAATCACGCGCTAGGATAGGATTTAACTGTTGCACAGGATTCTCGACCCTTACCTCAGGATCAGCCCTCGAGCTTGCCCGCCCCTCATAGCCTAGCGAGCCGGCTGCTGCTGAAACTACACCTGCGGGCGCCGTGCGCGTTACATTTGTGACATCATTTCAGTTTTAAGTACTTCCACTTCACATTGAGTTACATGGTACTATGGAACCAGAAGTTCAGGGGCAACCTGTCGGTTCAAGAGGAGCGAATAATTCTTGATGCGTCCGCGTGTATGACGAGGTCACTTACGAACCGGATCGCCCCTCGCAAGGCAGAGCCTGTGCACCACGCTTGCTGAACACCATTGATTTCCATTTTAAGTCTTTATAATGGAGATCAATCAGCTACGCGCGCCTAACATCTGCCTTTGTTACGTTACTTACTGGGCAGAGCGCCATCCTCAAAGCTAAAGCTGCATTCCACCAAATGGTTGCATATCTGCGCGCGAGTTATTATTCAGTGATCCCACGGGTTTTTAAACCAAGACATACCATAATCAGGAGGGATCACAGAAATTTTTCTATAAATCCCGAATTTGGGACTGATATTTTCCGGTTTGGGGTATTTCTTTCACCAAAAGCCCTAAATTGCAGGCCTGTTTCGGATAGAGGCGGGCGGCATACGTACGTCCAGACACTGAGCGCATAGTTTACCAAAGTAGTATTTTGTGGTTATCTTCGGGGAAAGGCGAATAAAAACGAAACTGTGGCTCATCCCATAAAACTGAAGCAAAAAGTGATCTTCGGATCATAATCTTCAATTTCCACTGAAAAAACGAAGGTCAACCTCTTCCAGAGAGTCAACAGGCGGCGCTATTTCGTTCTATTTTTGCGCTGTTTTCTTTGGGCGCGAAATTTGGTGTAGGGCCATAACTTCGCACCTCGCCAAGTGACTAGCGCCCTCTGTCACGTCACAATAATAGACTCTTCCAACAGCTCAACCTTCACACACATTTGTTGCGCCCATTAACAGCCGCGGTATTTGAACGAATTGTACATTCTGGGAAAAAAAAATTCTCATGAAGCCTGAAGCCCTAGACACTGACGAATGTAGAATAAAATCGATGCGAAGAAATGCAGCCATCGGCTTCGCTCTCTCGACTATTGAGCTACAGTCCTTGTATGCTCGTCCTTGTCATGTGGTTTACCGAGTAAGATGTTTTGCCTCTACCTACTCAAAACCTGTGGCACAACTAAGGTGGAGGGGGAAGCGTGCACGCCCCCCCCCCGCCCAACGCCTGTGCCCCTCGTGTACCCCCCGCCCAGAAATCAGATAAGAAACCTGGTAATTGTCCGTGCTGGTTATTGTTTCAACTGTGACAGAACCCATTGAGTGCCCCCCCCTCCAGACTCCAGACAACGAAGGCCTTCCAAGCTTGCCCTCAATTGAAAATGTATACCCCAGTTACCGGTTCACCACCGCTCAAGACGATACATTTGGATGTCTGTCGCCTTCAGGAATACCGGATTCCAGTTTACGAAGCACAGGTGTAAGCAACATCTGAAGAGCAGCGGCGGAGATCAGACCGCCCAAGATGTAGAACACGGAGCGGAAGGTCCCCGTAGTGTCATATAAACGGCCTATGCAAATGATAAAAAGGTCATTTCAGTCTCACTGAAAACCTGTACAACTACGTCAGAGTTGTCATTACAAGGTCAACGCAAGAGGTTACGCAGTCCTATACTTCCCGGAAGTACATTTAGAACTTTCACAGACATATAATATGCTCATGCAGTAAGGCAAAACTCGGCGAGATCAGTCGAGACGCGCTCTGGCAGTGAGGCTGCCTAACCCCTGATATCTGTCCATTAACATTCTGCTGGGAAACGCCAAAAGTAGCTGGCGACTTAAAATCGAGTGGAGATTTTCGGTCCATTGCAGTTCGTATGCTTCATAATTCGGGTTAATAAAATCAAGTTAATCCCCGGTCGACCAACAATTTTGCATTTTTTTAACAAACTTTTTTCTATGAACGACGCGTCCTGTTCTCACAGACTGGTATCTGTGCCCACATCTTTAACATTCCAAGCACTACTGTCCCGTAGCTATAGCAACATGAAACATTGACGGATATAGTCAGCCATGTAGACTTGTCACTGAAAATTGGTGAAATCCTTGACAACTTTAAAAGTTTGAGTAAACTTCTGTAACAACTTGTGGTGTAAAGCTCAGAGAACCTTGCCACAGTAATGTCCAAATACAAAATTGTATTGATAGCTCCAATCATCCTCTTGACGTGTGTTTCAAGATGCCCACGGAAAAGTCCCTCGTAACACTTACCAGCAACAATGGGAGCCACAAGTTCTCCGACACCACCTGCCACGAGATGTATCGCCTGCCCAGATGCCACAAGAGGCGCACCCAGGAGTTTACGTAGTAATATGGCGCTCCATACTTTGTTAGCTCCTATACCAATACCAACAATGCAGGCGGAAGCGGCAAAAGACGCATAGGTCTCGGCTTGAGAACAAAGTAAACCGATGCAGCACAGCACAAAGGAGCATGTGTATAGGACCTCGACGGGTGTCTTGCGGGTCACGAAGAAGCCACTTGCGAGTCTACCGCCGAAACTCCCAAACCCAAATATACTGAATAGAAATGACGCCCCGGATTCATCTATGCCACAAAACATGGCCCTTGGTACGAGAAATACCGTCACGCAGGAGAATACCACCTGGAGTTCCATACCAGTTAAGCAAAGGAGCGAAAATCTGTAACTCTTCAACAACAAGTCCAGTCGTAAAGCTGAGAACGCCCACCATAAGCTACTAGGACAGGTCTTACTTTTGCTGGTATGTTCGCATCTTTTACTTGAGCCATTTTGAATACCGTTTGAATTCCCATCTGTGGTCGGACTGACGTCCGTGTGAACAGCTGCGCCTTCAAATCGTGGAGTCCTTGGTGTGTAACTGTAGGGACGATACAGTGCGCCGACCACACATAGATTTGCGCATATTGCAGATGTTACAAGCATGGCTCCCCGCCATCCGTAAGTATCGAGGAGTACGCGTAAAAGTGGCGGGAACGCAATCATGTTGATGCCGACACCGCTCATGGAAATACTGCTTATTATTGGGAAGTACTTCTCGTAATAATCCGCAAGAATGGCATTGTTAGCGATGTTGCATAAGGAGGTACCCACACCTGCAAAGAAAAAGCATACAATTTCGAGTGGCTTGTTAGAACGCGAATTATAGTCACTGGGCATTCTCTTCTTGCTGGTGTGCATGCGCAAAAAAGTTCCACTCTAAAGACACATTCCTACAAATACCCATCGTCAAACTTGTTTCTTCGTTGGTTGCATTTCCAATTAATTACGTAGTCACTGCAATCTCGTACAGTCATCTAGTTGTGCCAGTGGTGCCCTATAAGCTTTATTACGAACTTGGCTAGAGCATGGTGCTGTTTGCTGACACCGTGCATCCGGATCTGGTTTTAGTAGTCGGCTTTGGAGAGTCCCCCGACTATACACTTTGAAGACAAAATAATGGTGTACTAGTCAACGACCATGCGCTTGTACGTGTTAGATTCAACATTTCAATTTCTAGTGTGATGTGGTTAAGGTGTAAGTATTATATCCAATTTCCTGTACTGTATAGTTTCTTGATGAGCAACGTGCCTACCTATCAGCGCTGCTATGCTGTACATTCCCCACAGATTCGACACCCAGAAGCTCATCAAGAGAGGAAAGAATGTAAGAAGCCCTCCAAGGCTACAGGTGACGCGGTATCCGTAGCGATTGCAAATTACACCTGCCAGTAGAGCTGCCGACAAACGAATGCAAAAAAGCCTGGAAATAATTCTGACTGCAAAAGACACAAGCGTATGTAAAAAAAAAAGAATAGACCGAAAAAAATTGGCTCTAAAAGGAAGATTTCGTTATTTTCAGAAAGTCTGTCCCGCGTTGGCGTGGGCATAGATGATTGTTTCATTATGGTTATGGATAGAGTTTCATACCCAATTGGAACCATGGGCTACTTTCGTACACCACATTATAATATTTTTCCCAAGGAATCGAAAGTAAACAAATCCCGTGCTACATTAACTCTTTCATGGGCTCCGAACCTCTTTAACCCTCCATTTTCATATGCGAGCCAGTTACAAGTCGACTCAAGAAAGTGGCCCCTGCTCACTCAGATCAGATGTGAAATTCTCTTCATGAAATCACGAACCTTCGTCTGCCAACGTGGATAGCTTTCTTACATTAATAAACAATTCATTTCCAGGAAATTTTTCTCGAGTCCATACCTCTTTGAAACTTGTTTAAACACATTTGATATAACCCAAACAACACAACTCGTATGTTTGAGATTATTACAGGGGAATATTCATCAACTACATGTGCGACCTTTTTGGCCTCTTCAAACTGTCATCTTGGGGTTCTCTTTACAAAGTTGATTTTATGGTATTGGCAAGAAAGCTCCCCAATTTAGGTTTACGTTTTCTTGCCATGAAAATCTCGGTTCATTGCCCTGGGATGTTGTTCTCTGAATGTGCTGACCAAAACGAGTTCGACCTTTTCATCTTTTCAAAATCTTCAGCGAACTCTCTCCCTCAAGTCCAGATTGTGTTTCTGTTGTTAGTGGTCAATTCGGTAGTTTGCACATTAATTAACAGGGAAGAAAGTAGGCGTTGGTGAAAGCAACTCGCGCGGAAGAAATGACTTACATGAAAAATACAAGGTGGATGACGTCACGCTGGAGATGGCCCCAGTCTGTGCCGCCGTGGACTCAAAAGCATTTTGCCAGCTGACATACAGCATTCCGGTACACCTTATGACGACAGTGACGAGGAACATGCAAGCGAAAGACGCAAAAGGGATGACTTTTCCCCAGGCACGGTGGGATGCCTTGGTGCGATGTTTCACTCCTTGCATGGTGTTAGTACCTCGCTTTAGCAGTGTCAAAGAAATACAATGGGGCACACTTCTCGAATGTCGTTTTGGTTTTCGTCTTGTTTATTTAAGAGACTTCAGCCTTTGGCCTTTCGTCAAGACCTGAAATGACCAAACACAATGGAGTGCCACCCCGAGTTTGGCTCGATATGGATTATATTTGACCTGCAAGCTCACCTCTGTTCGGAGTCAGTGTCCAAATATACTGCTGCAAACCCGTATAATTAGACAAACAACTCCCCAGCGGCGTATCCAGCTTTTTGGGGGAGGGGGGGTTCACAAGCAAATGCGGCTTTGGGCTCATTCAACTTGATATTGGGAGAGAAAAATCAAAAGCCTCACTTACGGTCCCGACATCCAATTACTTTTATTTGTCTTTTTAGAGTTTGGGTGCTAATATTTGATCAATAAATATACTGATTACTTTCATCTGAACGTATATCAGGGGATTTGTGGTATTCTGGAAAGGAGGGAAGCTATATGCTATTGTCTCTTCCACTATTGTTGTCAAGTATAGACCTTGCAATCATACAGCTTTATCATGAATGGAAAGTGTTGTAATTACGATAAATCAGATCAAGCAAATCAGATCAGATCAAATCAGATCAAATCGTACCAAATGGAAACAGCGACGCAGAGAGGAAAATTGCATATTACTGTTTTAGAGGACAGTTGCATTGTTAACATTGACACCCATAGTTGTGGCAATTGGACCGTATATTAAATTCACGTCACAATAAGCATTCGCAGGGTTTGCTCACGCACACTGACGGCAAGTTGATATAGCGTTCCTCAGTCAAAAAGTGAGCCGCTGAAAGACAAACTTGACTAATTCTCCAGAACAACACTCGTGTTGAAATCGGAATCGAGGCTCCTCTGCCTGCAGCAAGGATAACCCCGTCGATTTTACCCTGTCTTAAAATATCTTTTCAAATAAACTTTTTAAAGCGACCCATTTGTCTTGAGATTTTTTTTACAAGTATACATGGAGTTTACTCTTTTTTTTTCTGGACGCTTTCTCCCCTCCTGGAAGGTTCACTGAAGAAGACAAAGTATACATACATTTTATCATCGAACTTTACCGCGTATTAAACCGGTTTGCAAACATTTCCTTCAGTGCACTGTTTATTCGCTCTGAAAAAAAGGGTGAATCTCTTAATGAAGTCAAACGGAAATAAACAGATTATTGTGGTTTAAAATTGCTAAGTTTAGGTGGAGAATGACTTTGCTTGCGCTAACACCTTCAAAACTTTTCACGTTATTCCAAAATAATTCACAAATCTTATTCAGCCTTTGAGTACACTAATACAGTACAGAATGAGATTTCCTACTGAAAGGCGAAAAACATAAACAAAACCGAAATCGACACCACACCCACAAATGTGTAAGGTCGTAAAGCGATATTGATGTTTGATGGAAAGATACAGAATATTTCGTAAAAACGAAGATGTTATATCATTTCAGCGTTACCACAGTAAAAACAGAAATAACGTTCACAGCCTAGAAACAGCACTTCGGAGGATCACAAGGCAATTTTTGTCAGACAAGACTGTTTTTCTCTTGGGTCACTGACAGGGTCTTTTAGGAGGAAAAAAACGCCCTTGCAATCTACGGCGTCTTTGCCTAAACCGGTACTGGCTGATTTTCGTTGTCGGGGAGGCCCGGCTCCATCCTGCCAAGCAGTGGGAAGAGCAACATCTGTACTGCAGAGGCGGCACAAATACCGGCTACGACATAGAACACAACACTAGGGCTCCCTGTCTTGTCATACAGTAAACCTTTATAAGTTGGAAAAAAAGAAAGGTGAAATAATAATTGAATGATATTTGGCATAGAGTTATTCAGGCTGTAGCGTGCATGTAAGGGGAGAAGATGAGGGAAATAACTAGCTCATATTCCCAATTTCAACTCAGTGATTCTTATTAAATTCTACATAAGGGATCAACAGTCTCGTTACTCTTCCTGGCAGTCATTACACGTGTCAACGATTGATTTAATGCCCCCAACAAAAATACATCTGATATATAAATGTGCATTAACCTACGCTCGCGGTTACTGCATTTTAAAATGTGCTTTACTTTTTGGTAGCTTTTTCGTTGTGACTACGGGCTTTACTAAATAAAATATGTTATGTTCATTTTCGCTACCTTACGGACTGTTGAGAATTTTTTAAAAAGGGTACGCCGTATTAGGGGAGGTCTAGTGGGCTTGGGTAATTCCACCCTCCCAGCCAGTGAGGTCAATTACCCCCTTTGACAAGCTAACATTTTCTTGGATAGCAAAATTTCCAATAACGAATCTCAAGGAGATGTCACCATTTGATCTAGAAGGATCAAAACGAGTCTTACCTGCTAAAATTGGGCCGACGAGGTCTCCAAATCCACCCACTGCGTACAATATACCCATTCCCGATGCCATGTTGGACAAACCGACAATCTTCCGAAGCAGCACGGTGTTCAGTGTTTTGTTGGCACCGGTCCCGAAGCCGACAAGACACGCTGAAGCAGCCAAAGATGCGTAAGTTTCGGCTTGAGCACAGCAGGCACCAAGACCAAACAGTACGAGCGACACTGTGAAGCCCACCTCGACAGGAATCTTGCGAGTGACGAAAAAGCCGCTTACAAATCGTGCGCCAAGACTCCCAAAGCCCATCAAACTGAGCAGAAAAGGAGCCTCCTGCTCATCAATACCACATGCCTGGGCTAAAGGGATCAGGAATATCAGAAAGCACGAATACACAAAGTTAGTTTGCAAGTTCACCATACAAAAGAGAGTGAAACGATAACTTTTGAGCAGCAAATACAGCCGCAATTCCGAGAGCAAATTTGAAAGGAAAGTCAACACAGACCCTCCTTTCTTATTTCTGCTGGGTCGGACATCTTGCTGATTTGGCTCAGGAAGTCGTTGAATCTCTGAACTTTTGTCGTTGGTCAGGTAGTCGTCTAGTTCAGGTTTTTGGAGTCTGCTCTTCGTTTCTGTTTGAGGCCGACGATAGAGGGCACCAGCTACACATATATTTGAACACATTGCAGCCGTGATCAGCATGGTTCCTCTCCATCCGTACGTATCAAGAAGCAGGCTAATCAGGGGTGGGAACACGACAATGCCCAATCCCAGTCCAGCACTTGTGAAACCGATGGCAATAGCGTAGTACTTCTTGTAATACTGCGCGACAGCCACGGTGGCCGCTACAAAACACAGGGAAACCCCCAAACCTGCAAGAAACCAAAGCACAGATTGTATTCGTAGAGTAAAACTATGCTTCTAACTTTAAAAGCCAATAGCAAACATCATAGACTCTTAAAATGAAGAACAAGCAAATTTAGAATCCTTAATTACGTCATTGGTCCGTTTTACCCCAACTGTAAGTTAAGAACGACCCTTTTTATTGGATGAATATGCCTCAACGTGCTCTGCATAATTTCATGTACTTTAATACTGAAAGAAAAACCGGTACAGCTGTTCCCATAACATAAAATCTGTTCTGTCGAAATACGTTTATGTAATGCTTTAGTTTTAGTGAACCATGACAAAACTATACGTTTTATTTTAAGTGGTGTGTTCTTTCAGAAGTACTTAGACAGTCTCCCTATTCAACAAGGTGCAATATGACCGTGTATTAACATTTGATAATACCCGCCTAGATGCAAGACAGTTTAATCGAATCTGATGAGTTAATAGTCTGTGTGCACGCGGCTCGCCACGCGCGCGCCAAGTCCAAAGAGATTCTATTGGACAACTTGCAAAAGGAATAGGCTTGTACCATAAAAAGGACAGGGGTGTTCGGGAACAACAACTTGGACAACTTGTAGAAGGAATAGGCCTTCACCGTAAAATAGACAGGGGGTGTTCGGGAAGATGAAAGTAAAATTCTAAAATAAATTGTTCGAAATCCAGTAAATGTTGACTTTGTGTGACTCTCCTACAAAAAAGGTATTTAGGAATGGGAATAAATAATGCTTGGTCAGTCTTTAACGTTCAAGACCGGCTCAGGAGAATGGACACGACTAATACCCGAGCCGCACGTTTAAGACCGGCCAAGCACATATTTATTCCCTAACATTGAAATTCTTACAAAATCCCAAATTTCCCCATTTTGTTAAATTCATTTTGCGTGTGAATTGTTTCATAATTCGTATTGGTCTCACGACCGAAGCTAATCAGTATAGAAAACACAGGGTCCATTTGCCCCACCATACTTTATTTTTCCCCCTATAGGTTGTCATCATAATGTTATATTACAGAAACCTGTAATTATGCATGGTTCTCGCATAGAAATAATGCACTATAAAGAACAACCGTACGCGTATGCTTCAGTTTTACCCTCTGTAAAAGCACCTAGATAACAGTTAAACTAACCCACACAACATAACATTATTTTCCTCTGATATATTCCAAAGACCCCTTCTTATACCAGTTATCCTGAGATGACGGCCATCAGAGAACTTCAATCGAAATATTACCGTAATTCTCAATGAGGCCAGACTTATAAAACGTGCACTGACATCGTCTATTCAGCAAAAATAACACTGTAATATCAATGTTAGACAGCAGTGGGCCGTTTTCGAAATATCAAAGGGGTTCCATTTACCAAAAGTTCCATTTTAATTACCCCACACTTTCCTTTTCTCCACAGGTAACTGACACTACTGAACCGACAGAGAGGTTTGGTCGCCAGGTGGTGTCATGTTACCAACCATGCCGTTGTAGTTAAAGCTTAATATTTTATTGTTTTAATTTTACTCTTCGAAATCCGGTTCGTAAGTGACTTCGTCACAGAGGCGGACGCACCACGAATTGCAGGCTCCCATTGAGCAATCGCTGAAGTTAATGCGTTGCGTATTAACTTCCGGTTCCATGGCTCCATGCAAACGGCGATCAGTGCATGTAACTCTATGTGCAGTGCATGTGCAGTAGGCGTGGTTTAAACTGAAGTGACGTCACACTTACGAACCGGTACCGTCAAAAAACTTACCAAGTATGGCTCCTATGATGTACATTTGATAGAGATGCGACGCCCAAAAGCTTATCAGCGAAGCCAGAAATATCAAAAATCCTCCCAATATCCAAGTAGAGCGGCCTCCAAATCGGTTGCAGGCCACGCCGGAAATAGCACCTATTGGATTGAAAGAACAACGAACATAATTCTTTTCTGAAGAGAGCGATTTAGCGTCGAAGAATGCCACCATTCAACGGGTCAGGTGTTCGAATCCAGTGATAAACCACACATTGTGTTCTCAGCAGGTCATTTAACCCTCGCCTGTCTCTTTGAATAGGGAAACAGAGTAGTTATGATAAGTAATTAATTTTGTGCCTGAAATGGCAGCATATAGAACCGTGCATATTCACTGAAGGCTGATATGGTTTTAGGAATGTTTATTGGGTCAATCATAAGAATACAGCGCCTTCAGCATTAGCGTCCCTGGTGGAGCCGTGACCAATCATAACAATGCACTAACTTTATGGCATGCATTAGCTTTAAATTAAGTGTATTGTTATATGTGTATTTCCAGGATGCTTTTACCTTTGTCTTTTTCAACTGTTTTACACTTTTTATTAAACATATTTTCCTTCGATACATCAGTCTAAACATGCGATAAAGATTCATTGGAGACGCTCAGGATCAGAACCCATGCTTGTCAAAGAAAGAATCGAGAACGGAATGAGTTGCTTACAGGCAAAATAGGAGCAGGAAGACATGGTGCTTGCAATCGCTCCGGTTTGAGAGGCGCTAGAATCAAATTCAATTTGCCAGCTGGAGTAGAGGGTACCGGCGCATCGCGTCATCATGCTGACCAGGTGATACACGCTGAATGCCGCGAAGATAACCAATAGTCCGGCGACACCGTCCACTTGATCCGAGCTCCGACCACTCAGCCGGAACTTTCGGCCGCAAACAGAAGGCATAGTTCTTCTGGAATGACAATTAACAAAACACGGCAAATACTCGTCGTTTTTAATTAAGCCAGCAAATTATAAATAAACTCATGTCGAGTAGCTACTTTAATCACACGTCCAATAAAGTCAGAACGCAATATATGCTAATTGAAGGCCCTTGGTTAAAGTTCATTCCCTCGAGACTGGCATTGACACTGGTCAGCACAGCTCTGGTACTTGGAACGCCATAAAAAGTCGGTGGACTATTATCCGCTGCCTTCCAGATGCTAATTCCCATGAAACATGCAGCTGATTGGGATTTGTTGTTGAAATCTATTACCTCAGAGCATAGTACAAGGGTTCAGAAGAAACATGATAATGTGACAGTAACACACATCTCTCCGGTGCACATCAGTTGGACTGATTCAAGTGTGATAAGACCTGACCACTGATCAATAAGCCCGTGACCACTGACCAGTTGGTGTCAGGGTAAACTGACCTGTTAAGGCTTTGCCTTCAGTCCCAAATAATAGGTGGAGATTGTCCTTAACGGCTCGTACACAGATGGGACAATCCTTCTTACGGAAGTTTGCAACGTTGCTCAGCGCCGAATCCTACGTTCGATCGTGTCGCGCTGATCAGCTGCCTTAAGACAATGCAGAATCCCGTGTTTTAAGCAATGGTGTTGGGAACGTGTTCCTACTCTGACCGTAATCTAAAGCTCGACCTTGGAAGACAAACAAACATGCATATCTAATTATATTTGAACAGTCTGATTCCATGAATACGGGCCTGAATATAGGCTCACGTTATTTTATTGAATAGAAAAGACCAAGTTAACAAATTAACAAAAATTAATAGAGGATTTATGTAAAGAGGTGGCATTCACCATAAGGATATCTCTTAAATACACGTGGTTCTGAAAAGAACTAGAGAGTACTCACCGTTTTTGAGAGTAGGCTTGATGCTACCGGAAACAGGTAACCTTACTTGCCACCTTCGCCATGCACGGAAAGCTTCAAAGCTCATTTAAGTGAGGCTTTTTATTATTTTCAAAATTGATGCCACTCTGTTTAAAATGACTAACAATCGTTAGTGTTTCGACTTTTTAAAGATACAGAAATGAAAGAAACTTGTTGGAAACGACAATAACGAATGTTTAAAGATTGAAAGTTTTATTTTCTTTAGTAAGTTTGTGCCACGGTTTTACACGAATTCAAAACAAAAAGCAGCCACCATCACCCCAGTTTGCAACCTGGTTTTCTCAATCCGCCTCAGATTTCGTCTCCGCTGAAATTATTAAGGGTACTCTCGTATGTTCGTCCAACAGTGCTAACTAAACAGAAATGGCTTCTGGCTAGTGCCCCCCGAAGAGAGGTGTTGACAAATGGGAAGAGTCACCAACATCGGACTAGATAGCTCAGTTGGTAGAGAAATGGTACGGTATTCCAGAGGTCGCAGGTTCAAATTCCGCTCTAGTCAATTTCTTTGTTCATCCTTATAATCATTTACAAGCTCTTTGTCAGTTTTCCCATGTAGTTTGTTTCATACGCAGAAATTCTTCAAATGTTCAGTCCCTGGCATGTGGTTTGATGTTATTGTTTTTGCTCTGAAGAGCAGTGTCAGTGTTAGGAGTTACAAGTTGGGAAAAAGTCAGTGATGAAGGGGACGAATCCAGGAAAGGGATCCCCTCCCCAGGTTTTTGCCAAGAATTTGGGAGGTGGGATTAAGTAGACAGGTTAGACGCACGGTCGATTGCATAAATCGGTGAAAAAGGACCAACAAAATCTAACGTTAAGAGATCCTAATCGGAAGTTTATTATGGGAGGGGGTAATATGCCTATATTACTCCCCCCCCCCATAAACTTCCGTGTATTTGCTCTTTCATCTGTCTTTTCCAGAGGTAAATTGAGAAAAAAATCTTGTCGGGCTTCAAAAAGCCATCGGTGCAGTGACGCTGAACATGATTTTTTTGATTGTTTTTGTTTGCTTATATAGACGGAAGCATGGTAGTAAAGTTCTGCATTGTCCTTGAGCAAACTGGACTTTGAGGTCAATTACCCACCAACATGGTGGACTTCAGTATGCACAGTCTACTGTGTTGCAACGGTTACCGCATGATCTGATTATGTAATCAAATGCAAGTATTGAACAATCTGTACTCTGGTCCTTTTTATAGCTCCATTGTCATAAAGTGGTGGGCGTGTACGTGCACACATCTACAGTCGACGCATCACGACTACTCCTCTTTTACAAGTCCTTCTCCAATCTTCTCGAGATCTCATGTTTCAGTATTTTGCAAGCACAGTGAGGTCACTTGGGACTTTCTTTGAACACCCGGCAATATTTCCAAAACATTTAACGACTCCCAGGGATCAAAGGTATCTTCCTTGACCTGAGATTGATTCTGAACGTTTGTCAGACAACTTTCAAACAAGATGGCTTCTCGGGTTTTCAGCTTTAGTACGGGCGTTTCGCAATTGCCTCTTACTAAAAGTTTGCAATGCACCAGCCAAGAGAGGGGTCCCAATACGACGCTTTTAGCGTCGATTTGCGCACTTCCGCGTTTGAAAACGAGGCTGTATGTGTCAACTTCAATTCTTAATACGATCAGACTATTGAAAGTAAGGAGTCAAGACACAAAATACATAACGGTATGTTAAATTCAGACTTTTCAAGCTGCAATTTTTTGTGTAAGCGTCTTTCAGGATGACTCGACATGTAAAATCAAAAGAAACAATGACGGCACTTTACCGCGAACTAACGTACCTGCGATGGTCGTGTATCTGCATGTGCAGTGGGCGTGGTTTAACTGAAGTGGCGTCACACTTACGAACCGGATGCTGCAAGTACTGTGTCGACTTCGCGGGCGGGCGCGCGCGAAGAAGTTCAACACAGAGAGCCTCGGTTTCGATGCGGATATGCGCAGACGGCGCTAATGTGAAATCCCTCTATTAATCATAATGCCGAAATCTGTCGACGACCCAATGCGTGTTTGGAAAGGGTCGATAAATTTCGCGCATCGTGATTGGCCAAAGCGTTGCAAAATCTTTGAGGCGCCCCTTTATGATTTGTCCATATAGAAGATCAGAATTATTCTAACTCTCCTATCCGGAGACACAGTTGTCCGAATTTCTAGTGAAAAATCGACCTGTGACTAAAAAAACTACTGGACTGATGGGACTAAAATAAATCATTTGGGTTTTGGAGCCTCCCCTCACAGAACCTGCAGGATCAATCCCCAGAAGGGTTGTTGGACAGGACACGGAATAATTCATAAATCAAATTAAACCGGTTGTCGTAATGTTCTGACGTACTGTACTTCCACAGAACTCGGCAGTTCCAAAATTAATCTTTTAAACTTCAGGATTTATTCAGAATCATAAACACATGTATATGCATGATGTTTAATAAAGACATTGACATTAAGTCTTTAACACCCCAAACAATGTTTGAAAAGAACATTATTGATCAGATTGATGGTTTTCCTTACATAAAGGAATCGGCAAGAAATACATTATTGATCTAAATAGCCGTACGCGATGTAGGCTTCGATCAACTTTCATAACTTGGTCTTATCTTACCAAGGACACCTCTAAACAGTTTTTGAAGAGGGCAATTCTATTTACTTAGCCTAATGTAAGCAAATAAAACATTTCCATTCATCAAAATAGGTTAAGCTCGCCTTCCACCTCTGCAGCCCGAGTTCGATTCCCGGCTCGGTCCACATGTAGATTTGGTTTTCAATCCCAATCTGATTCCGTGGGTTTTTCCCAGAAGTTTCTTCTCTGGGGTTTTCCTCCCACCTCTAAAACTGTAACTGCTTATTGTCTCCTCTCTATAGATGTAGGTGGATGTGGGTAGTTTGGCGGTTTGGAGGTGCCCCCTTGTATGCCATCAGCTCAACCATGTTTAAGTCTTCAATGTGTAGCGTAGTCGAACACATCTGTATGAAATTTGCATTTTACAAATGAATAAATTAATATCATTACTGTGTTAACATACCTTTTCATTAAAATTTACCAGTAAAACTTTTCTTTCACCCCTGATATTCTGGGCACAAAACAGTCCCCAAATCCATGAGATCACATAAAGACACTGTACAAAAACCCCCAATTGGTACATGTACACTGTACATCCCAGACCCTTGTAAATTAACTGTGCCTGAGGTTATTCCATCTCAATTAAGCTGAAACTGTTCAATATGACGAAGGAGGGACCTGACTTAAAATTTCCTCACATAATTAGTTTACCATTGCGTAAAAATACAAACTTCACTTTAAAATGCAGCATTGGAATCCCGAACTTCGGGTACTGTCACATTCTCTGGCATTCTGTTTCACTTTGATACAGTATCTTACACACTGAACACTCAAAATAATGTCGTTGATATCTGGTGGTTGGTGGCCTTGTGGCTCAGCTATGGGGAAGGGGGTCAGGTATGGGAGACCAGCTAAAAAAAACGTCCACAGCTTACTGTTCATTGGCCAAAAAAGCCTTCCTGTCAACAACTTCTTGTTATGGGCAGCCAGTAACACTTGCGCACACTACCAACAGTTGAAAATAGTGGGAGGTTGGACCCACTGAATGACAAAATACTGTAAGATCCTGTGGCGGCCTGTAACCCTACGCTCCGAGGCTGGTGGGCCCAGGGAGTAGTTGACCTGTTGGTTCTTGTATTGGGCCCTAAGCGGGAACAAGAGAGGGCGCAATTTTTATTGCATCGGAGGCTGCTTTGGTGGGAACTGCACTCACTGGTTCCAATATGAGTACGAAATGCAAGTGTTGCAGTCACATCAACATCACCAACTTGAAAGTTCCCCACCAACGGCTCTGTTCAACTAACGAGGAGTGCTTCTGCTCAAGGTGGATTGGGCAAAGTTCTCCACTGTGTAACGGTTGCATGCGGCTGC